CCGAAAGTGCCGGATACTTAGAAACCAGGGTCCCCGAAAGTGCCTATAAAGCTTCTCCCAGTCGGATACTTAGAAACCAGAGCTCGGAAGTGGGCAGTTCCTAAACTTGGGACCTTTCGGAAGTGCGTTTCGGCTTGTGCCCCGACATATGGAAACCAGATTCGTGCGGCTAGAATTGAAGGCAGTCTGGGGACGTCTGCGGCGGTCTGGTTTTCTAGTTGCGTGACTGAGCCACTGCCGTAATGCCCAAGCGAGCTCGTTCTCCGAAGCGAGGACCCAAACGGGGCAGTCGCAGCAAGGTGAAGCTTCTGTGCGCATGGAAAATGTGCAAGAACAAGCACGTCGACGTGAAGAATTTGCCCTATACCCTCAACATGGACCTCCTTGATGCTAAGCAAGCGCGGGCAATGTCAAAGGTTTGCAAGCAAGCCAAATTCTGCTGCCTGGCACATCTTCAGAAAGCCAAGCTGGTAGCTCCCAGACTCATGACTGAATTGATTTGAACCCTCATCGAATCACGCCGTAGACATTCTGCAGTAAGTTCGATTCAACCATATAAAATTGAACCCATGTGTCCGTGAGCGCGCACCTTGACAGGAGCGGCTTATGGGGGGCGGGAAGCTCTAACACCAGCCCAAGTTTTGCACGTCTTCAAGACTCTGCTCTTCGATGCTGCATCGCCGTGGGCTGCTGTGGCCTTCATTTTGTCCCTGTTCTTAGGAGAAAGAGCAGGGTGTGCCTTGCAGGCGCGCGACTCCTGGTTTGTTGGCATGGACACTAACCAGCCCGTGGTACGCATTCCGAAAGTGAACGGCAAAACCGCAGCACGAGAAATCCCTCTGGACAAGGACTTTGCATGCCTACTTCTCGGATGGACGCAGGCTGAGTCAGGACCACTACGGGGAGGATCGGGATGCCAGTGGCCACACCCGGGCCAGAAGATTCAGCTACTGCGCGATAAATCAGCCAAAGTCCCTGCAGGGCGACTCCTATTTCCTGGACGTGTTCTTGGCGGCAAGAATTCGAGAGCTTGGGGCCAGGCCGTCACCACCCGAGGCCTGCATGACAAGTTCCAAGAAGCACAGGCTGCAATGCACATGCAGCTGGTTGATGCTAAGTCGACGAGCAGCCCTCATGTCATGCAAGACGTCATCATCGACAGAATCAGCTCCCACTCTTGCAAAAAAACGGCTGTAACTCTTTTGAAGGAGCAGGGAGTAGCGACGACGATTGTGTCTATGCTGACGGGGACAAGTTGCCGTGTATTGGACCAAACATACTACAAGCCCTCCAGGGAAACCCAGCGTGTGGCACAGGCGTCCGCATTTTGCGGCATCACCCAAGGTCTCAGGCCGGCGCCTCCAGAAGATCTGCTGGAGCCAGCGGGGCCCAAGCGGTTTTGTGTCGCCTGTGGCCAAGCAAATCAAGGAGATTGGAAGTTTTGCCCCTCTTGTGGCCAGGCATTCCTTCGGGTTTGATTTCTTTGCTGAAAACCAGCAAGGAGGCTCATCTATTTCACACTTGACTGCACTGCGCTCAGCACTCTGCGGCAGCATGAGAGGTTGTTGTTCCGAAGCAGAACCCACTGGAGTGCAGGTGGTGGCCTCTGAATGTCAAGCACGTTCCGAAGCAGAACCCACTGGAGTGCAGGTGGTGGCCTCTGAATGTCAAGCACCACGGCGGACGCAGGAGGTGCCTGGCGCCAGGGACTCAACAAATATCTCAGCATGCTGGTGAAACTATATCCCATAGCAAAAGCGCTCTGTTCTGCCTGTTGCATGCCGAGTACCGGTACATATTAAAAGCCCACGTGGGTGTTTAAAGACGCATACTGACAGTTTCAACACTGTTCCCAACAAGCATGGAGTCTGTCTTTGTTTCCAAAACACGGGTTTCCAAACCAGTCCGGCTGTTGTTTCGTAGTTTTTCGTTGGCATCTTGCACTGATACCAAAAATCCCGCACGTCTACACCCCGCCTATGTTTTCAACACAACCGTTTGTCTTTCTCATCATTATTATTAGCAGTTGTATGGTTACTAGTGTTATTGTTAGTCTGATTAGTAGCATCCTTCTTTCTTCTCCTATTATGCTCTTCTCACCCTCGCCATCCCCCAACCCACTCCAAGCCCATAAATCATCCGAAATGTCTTGAAGGAATGCATCCCAAGACCCTATTCCAAACAAAGGCTTTCCATATTGAACCCTAAACCTGGAATCCTCGCTTTAAGTGATGCTACCGGCCTAATCGGGATCACCCTCAGCGGCAGTTTAGGGTTTTGGGTTTAGGGTTCGCATCGCGAGATGAATGAAAGACCATGTTGTACAAAGTACGAAGTGCAAACCAAGAGCATGACATTTACAAATGTCAAGGGTTGTACCCTTGTGGCAGCACGCTGAAGCCTATCACCCTTGACAGACGTTAGTTACAGTGACCACGCACTTTGGGAAGCAAGCCAAAACCCAAACCAGTTTGGGGTAGTTTGGGCTTGAGACTACGACTAAACCCTAAACCCCTAAGTAATCCTAAACCTAAGACGCCCCCGAGGACTCGTTTGCACGAAACCACACCTGGCACATCCGCGTAGTCGTGCAGCACAGTGACGGGGGCTTCCTCCCACAACATCCAAAAGCTCTCGGGTTTAGGGTTTAGGGTCTCATCTCTGAACCCCGAAACCTCACACGCCCCAAACCCCAACAGGTTAAAAAGGGTCAGAAAGAGCTTCAGAGTTTAGGGTTCAGGCTTTGGGGCAGGTGTATAAGGGCTTTAGAACGCCTCAGGTTTTAGGGTTTAGGGCAGGTGTATACGGGTCTCAAAGAGCACTTATAAGGTTTTGAAGGAGCATCCTCAAATCTCCTCAAGTAATGGTACCATCTTCCCTACTACGGGTTCTTGAAACTTGATAAGGAGACCCAAGACCAGAAAGGCAAAAAGGGTCCAGTACAAACTGCAGTCATGGGTCAAGGTCTTAAACCTCATAGACAAGACTTTGTGGATTTCGGTGATTCGGGTTTGGGGGTTCCGGAAGCCTAACCGAAAACAAAGTCCGAATCAAGTCACTTGGAAAAATCCTGCAGTATCTACAACGTTTAGAATGATCCACGCGCATAGAACCCTTGAAGACAAAACCCTTCCGGATCTTTGAAAGAAAGCTTACTACAAGGCCTGATTATAGAAGCCATTGACATCCTTGTTGAACCTCGTAAGATCCTAAGCCCATGAACTATTTTGCAGCTTTGAGCTGCTAAGCTACGGAGCCTCCGGATTTGCCTGGCGGTGCCAAGATTTTTCCTTTGAGAATACTTACTTCCCCAATAAGCCAGGGAAATAAAAGGTTAAACTTTCAGATTACTACTAAATTACAAGAGCCCAAAAAAGTTTAAAGGTTGGGTATTGGGGAAACCTTCACCCCTAAACCCTCAACCCCTAAACCCTAAACCCTAAACCCTAAAGGGTTTGGAGTTCAGGGTTTCCCGTCCTCTGGGCCGCCCCAGTGCAGGGGTCGCGTGGCGAAGGCCGCGGCGCCATCGGACTGGACGTCGCCCAAGAGGATGCCTCTGCGAGGTGCTACTTAGGGATGAGGGTTTAGGGTTTAGGGTTTAGGGTTTAAGGTTTAGGGTTTAGGGTTTAGGGTTTAGGGTTTAGCGTTTAGGGTTTAAGGTTTAGGGTTTAGGGCTTAGAGTTTAAGGTTTAGCTTCTTTTTGCGGGCTTCCAAAGCCTTAAACTTCCTAAAAACCATTGAACGCTAAACCCTAAACCGTCACCGGTAGGGCTTCAGAATCTTCAGGACTTCATGTTACGCTCACCTTCCAGACTGGCTGGAAATCTGCTACGAGGCCAACACGCAGAGAGCCCAATATCCCTTAATTGAGGAATATACCTTAAAGTATGAGGGGCAACAATATCATGATTTAAGGTATATTCCTTAATTAAGGGTTTAGGGTTGGCAAAATAGTATGATTTAAAGTCTATTCCTTAATTAAGGGGTCTTGGGCTCTCTGGGCATCATCTACGAATCTGGCTTGCGGTTCGTCTGTTCAAGGTTTGCGGTGTCAGGTTCATCAACCATGGCGCGCGGTGGTAAGGGCTTCTAAACCCAAAACCGTCAGGGACTAAACTCTAAACCCTAAACCCCAAACCCCTAAACCCCTAAACCCTAAACCCCTAAACCCTAAACTCTCAGCCCCAACCCCTAAACCCTAAACCCACGAGCATCAACTTCAGCCAGCTTCGGCGTTGCGTTGATGATGCTTACTTCCCCAATAAGCCAGGGAAATAAAAGGTTAAAGACGGGGGGGGGGGGGAAATGACACCCTAAACCCTAAACCCTGAATGAAGGGATCTGGGGGATGTTACCTCGTCGAGCAGGAATCCGACTTTCGCATGCCACGGTTTAGGGTTTAAGTTGTAGGGTTTAAGGGTAAGTCTACGGTGACCTTGCTGCTCTAAGCTGCACAATGCTCAGAAAGCATGTTTCCTGCCCTTGCTTCTATTTTTTCGCGAACTCGTCCCAGCTCGTGAGAGGCTTCCACTTCGAGCCCCTGCTTCCCGACGGCCCTGTCCACTACATCGGCAGGAGCAGACTCCCTTCCCTTGCTTCTATCTTTCGGCTTCGGTGCCAGGCAGACTGCAATCATACCAGCAGGTTAACAGCATGCACAAACACAGACGACATCAATGCCGAAAGTCAAAGCAGTCCGGCCATGCGCAAGAGCGAGCGCAGCACTAAGGCTAGCAGGTCTACCTGTATGGCATTCCCTGCGAGCTGTCCTAGCTGCCGTGGGCTCAGCGACGTAGCCACAACCTCTTCGAGCCTCACCCCCTGGAGCTGCACTGCCTCATAGGCGCACATGCACCTCATCTTCCAGGACAAGAACATGCCGCACGGGTCTGCGGCCCTCGCCCTAGTCAAGCATGGTGCGTAATCCATGTTGTAGTGAGGGCTTGTGCCGCCTATGTTGACAACATAGCGCTCAACTTCAGGATCGCCGCCTGCACAGCAGATCCGTTCCAGTGCTGCTCTCAGAGTGCGCTGCCGGCTGTCCGGCAGCATCGGGAATGGAACTCCGAGAACATCCAGCTGGTCGTCAGTCAACAAGTAAGAGTCGATGGGCCCCATGTCCTTTGGCTGCGGCCATGACATGTCCGCTTGTTGGCAGTCGCGTCGACAGCCGATGATAAAGATGCGTTCTCGATGTTGTGGCACTCCGGCATGCACACGAGCATTAAGCAGCTCCACCTCCACTTTGTAATCCGCTTGGCCGTCTCTGTCCTGGAGGCCCACAAGAAATTCCACTACCTCCTCAAGCAGCTGCTCGTGGCGCAAGAGGAGGCCCGCCACGTTTTCCACGAGAAACGTTTTGGGTCGGTGCATGTCAATCCATTGCAGAACTCGCAGCATGGGTTGCGACCGGTGGTCGTTCTCTCCGCCTGCCTGGCCTGCAACAGAGTATGGCTGGCATGGCGGGCCAGTGACAAAGCAGTCGACGGAGTGGGTGTCCTGGCGAGGTCAGGCACTATCCGGACGAGGGCATCTGTGCAGAAAGGCCCAGCCTTACTCGCCTAAATCTACAGGGCCAGTCCTGCAGGAAGGCCGGCTCGAACACGTCTGTGAAGAAGCGCTGGTGCGACCACACTTCCTGGTTGAAGCGGATGCAGTGTGGGTCGCAGTCGCACCCAAAAGCCGGAGTCACGCGCAGGCCCAGTCGCTTTGCAGCAAACAGCTCCGACGACCAGCCGGAGCAGGCGCTCCCGATGCTGATGCAGGCCTGCCTGCACGGGGGCGTTCTCGATCGCTGTCTGCTTCCACTCATGGTCACGCAGATGTGCCACTATATCGAGGAGCTACTCACTCGAGCCCAGCGCAATGCGTTCACAGTCCTTGCTGCACAATCTTCTTGAGTCGACAAGCTTGATGCATCTGCAAGTTGCATAATGATACACTACACCCGGTCTGCAGCAGCAACAGAGCACCCGTCCGCCTCCGTCAGTACGCAGGCCCGCCTGCCGCATTATTGCAGGTCAAAAGGCACATGCCAAGCACACGAGATCACCCGACGACATGTCTGGACGCGACCCGGCCGCTGCATCATTTTCTGCCCCAGCTCCCCGTCACAACACACGTGCCCCCCGCAGCAGCCTCCCATTCTACAGATTCTCGAATGCCTTGCTCTCATATGACCACTATAATAGACACACGGCACAAGACTCGGAGGCTACAGCGTGCCCGAGGCGGTGAGGTCCAAAGTTGAGCTTCCGGCAGCAGCATTTCTAAAGTGCAGCGCAAGGCTCGCGAACGACAACAGGAGCACCATGCTGTCTGATACACAGAGGGTAAGGACATCTATTCACGACTGTTCCGGAGCCCGCCACTGAAGCA